CTACTGACCATTATCTCCTGGTTGCTAAAATGGCAATTACCCCCCATTTCAACAAAAGAGCGAACTCGTTATGACACAGTAGGCACAAAGCATCTCTGAAAATTCAGCACTTGCATAACAAATTCAATGCATGTGGCGCTCTCCTGGATAATGTAGAATAAACTTGGACAGCCATAAGTACAGTCATCTGAGAAGCGTAGCTGTCATTCCAAAATGGAAATGCTATGAGTGATGCCACTGGCTATCTGATGAGACATTTCAAATTTTGCCAAAGAAATCTGAGGCCAGAGTGTGCCATGACAACACTGCATGTAAATGTTTACCAGTTATTTTTCAGGTGAGAGCAAAAGGGGACTGTGAAGCTTATTTTGAGAACTTGGCATGAGGGAATAAGATCTAATAAATTACAACCTGCATTCAAAGCTATTCAATAACTTTGATCCAAAATTGGACTTTGGGCGGAGTTTAGGCTGACAAATAAATCTGATAGTAAAACATGCTCAACCCAGGAAAAAGTCCTGCAAAGACAGAAAGAATACTCAGAAGAAACATGGAAAATTATAGACAAAAGAAGAAAACAAAAGGCTCTAGTACTACAACATGCGACTGAAGAAATAAAACACACCTACAGGAACCTTGACAAAGCAGTAAAGAAACAAAGCAAAAAAGATAAGTGAAATTGGATAGAAAGTAAGGCTAGTGAAGCTGAAGAAGCAGGGGAAAGAAACGACGTAAGAACAGTCTACACGATCCTGAAACAGTTAACAGGATACGGATCAAAATTCAGAAGTGTCCCAGTGAAAAGGAAACAAGGAGAAATTTTGAAAACACAGGAGGAACAAGAAAATAGATGGGTGGAACACTTCAAAGAAGTGCTAAACCAACCAGAACCAATTACAAGACTGGAATTTAACAATAATAAACCATTAGCTCTAGATATAGATGTATTGAGGTAAAAATTGAAGTAGTAAAAAAAGCATTGCAGAAGCTGAAAAACAACCAGGCACCTGGTTTGGATGGCATTCATCCTGAGATGCTTAAATATGGAGGCGAAGACGTGGAATCAGTCATCTATTTGCTGTGCAATAAAATATGGACGGAGGAGAAAGTGCGGGAAGAATGGAGCCTCGGTATCATAATCAAGTTACCAAAGAAAGGTGATCTAAACAATTGCTCAAATTGGAGGGGAGTAACACTTCTATCTGTCACAGGAAAAGTATTAGCAGCAGTCCTCCTTAACAGGATGAAAGGAAAGATGGATACCATCCTATGTGAACAACAATCTGGATTTAGACAAGGGAGATGGTGCACAGATGCTATTTTCACCCAGAGACGGATTATTGAGAACACAAGGCAAGCTTGCCATCAATTTTGTGGACTTTCAAAAGGCATTTGATACCGTAAACAGAGAAACAATGTGGAAAATTGTGGCACAATATGGAATTTCAACAAAATTAATCAATGTTATGAAGGCATTCTACGCCAACTCAAAATGCTGCATTAAAACGGAAAATGGATTGAGTAAGCCATTCAGCATCAAGACAGGTGTAAGGCAGGGGTGCGTCCTGTCTCCTTTTTTGTTTATGCTAGTCATCGACTATGGATTAAAACAATGTGACGGTGATACATATGGCCTAAAATGGAACAATTCCAGGCTACTTGATCTAGACTTTGCTGACGACGTCACTCTTATCAATGAAGATGCCAACTAACTACAAAAATACACAAACCAAGTAAAAAGTAATGGAGAAGATAGGTTTGAGATACAATGCAAAGAAATGTAAAGTCATGTTAATAGGGCCTACAGGGACAGAAATCAAAATTGAAGAGAAGGTGGACAATTTTACGTATCTTGGAAATACCATCAGCTAAGATGGTACCAATTCCGAGGAAATAAGAAGAATCAGAAAGGCAAACGCTGCATTTGGAAGACTCAAAAACATCTGGTGACTCAAAAACATCTCCCTCAAGACAAAACTGAACATGTACAAAGCAATTGTTATCGCCATCACAACATATAGCAGTGAGACATGGTAACTTGCCAAGAAAAATATGCAAAAGCTGGATACATTTCATCACAAATGTCTGAGAAGAATATTGAGAATAACATATAGAGATAGGAAGATGAATGAAGAAGTCAGAAAAATTACTGGACAAGGCACCCGCTCACAAATAATCTACAAAAGAAGACATCAGTGGCTGGGACATGTGCTGAGAATGGAAAAAGAACACTTACCAAATACTGCCCTTGAATGGAAGCCAGAAAACACAAGAGGAAAGAGAGGAAGACGGCGAATAATATGGAAACAAACAGTTCTGAATTACACCAAGCACCTCAACATGAAATGGGAAGATGTGGAGAGAAGGGCAGTTGACAGGCAAGGATGGCAAATGTGGGTAGCCCAACGTGCAGCAAAGCACAGGATGGACTAAGGTAAGGCACTTAACCATCCTGAAGCGACTTCATGCCCAGATCTGGATGTGTTAGTAGTAACATGTGGGTGTGTTAGTAGTAGATGCAAACCCTGACCCTGAAACCTGGGTAGATGTATCTACTATGGAAGAGGTCCACTCTGCCATAAAGAAACTGGGAAGTGGGCATGCTGCTGGACCTGATGGCATAACACCCAAACTCCTCAGGTGCACCACAGAGCCCATAAGTGTGGCATTATACCAATCTTTTGTCTGGGCTTTGACTACTGGGAAGATGCCAGCAGAGTGGATGGAAAGGATCATCCCCCCACTGGGGCAAGACCCGTGCACTGAGTGCTGTCACTACACGCCAATAACTCTGCTTTCTGTTCCCAAAAAAGTTTTTACACTTGTCCTACTTGCCCAGTCCCAGCCTCTTCTTGTGAAATGCCGTTGCCCCGAGCAATTGGGTTTCACTGCTGGACAATCTACAATGAACGCTATACTTGCTCTTCATCTTTTATCTGAGATCCATCGCAAATTCAATTGTCCTTTGACAGCAGCATATGTAGACCTAAAAGCAGCCTTCGATTCTGTTGATAGAGCTGCCCGGTGGAAGGCCCTAGTGGCATTCCTGATATCCCCCTGAAGTTAATTTAAGACCTACATAATGACTATGGCACATGGATGTGATGGGAGACCCATAGGTTCGACAGGTTTTACACTAGATCTGGGATGAAGCAGGGCTGTGTCCTCACCCCAGTCCTATTCTGCCGCGCAGCAGGTTGGCTCTTTGAACATGTCTCCGCAAATACCAGTGTAATTGCCGATTCAACTTCTTTTACCAACTTGGACTATGCAGATGATGTCACCCTCTTCGACCAGGATGCAGATGACCTTAAAGATGCACAAGAGAGCTTCCAGCTCAGTGCAGCTGCCCGTGGACTAAAGATTTCTTGGGTAAAAACAAAAATTCAGAGTATCGGCGCAAAAGTTGTGATACAAGACATCTGTGCTGCCAGACAAACACTGTAAGTAGTGGATGATTTCATCTATTGAGGCAGTAAAATTGTCATGGATTGATAGACATGCTAAGAAGAATCAGTTTAGTAGCCTCAGCCATGAAGGACCTGCATAGTGTCTGGAGCCAAAAGAAGGCAAAATTATATATAAAGTACGGATTTATCAAACCTCCATACTTCTGATCCTCTTATATGGATCTGAAACATGGATATTGCTTAAACAAGACATCCAGAGGATGGAGGTATTTCATATGCATTGCCAGTGGCAACTACTGATAATAATAATAATAGGGATGTATCACTGAGAACTGCCCTTGAGAGGACTGAAGTCATCATCAGTCACTGCTGGCTGGCACTTTTTGGACATATAGCCCACCGTGGAGATACAGTCTCTGCACATCAAGCCCTAGATCAGACTTGAGGTCAGCTGGAGACATTGGCCAGCCACAGACTAGTAGCAGCCACACAGTCTTCTGCAATGATCCTGGCTGCACTGGATTAGTAATAACCCCGGGGAGCTTTCAGACGCCTGGAATAAAACCATACAATGTGGCCATGAATATTCAACGCTATGGACGTTTGCGGTATAAGTGTATTGTTGTCGTTGTTAAGCAGAAAGTGACACATTGCTTCTGGGGACACCACCTGCCTTCAGTTCACCAAAAGTTTGATGAACTGGAGGTGAATAATTGGGACTGTGCCCTATAGATAAGCCTGATGTGAAGTGGTTTTTCCGGTGATCCATCCATCTCTACACAGAAAGCCATTCCGATTCCTTCTTTTCCTTCACTGTGCTGTAACACCAACTGTTGAATTTCCTTTTAGTAAACACACAGGAGCCCCCCAAGACAATACCTTCACAATATGGTATCAGGTGGCTCCATCCTCCAGACTGCAAACATGTGACTCTAGTTGCTCCTATCAACTGGAAACCCTCTTCGCAGGAGAAAGTAACTTCACTACCAACAGTGTAATTGTCACCATAAGAATGACCATGTTCTGGATTTCCCGGATTCTTGCATTTTACTGGTTCTGTGAAAGCAGACATACCATGAAGAGTGCGTACTAATAACAGGCAGTGCAGCATCACTAAACACGAGTGCTTACAAACAAGTTGAGTGACATTTGTCTGGGCATTTTGTGAAAATCAGACATAAAAGAATGGGGAAAAATATCTACCGTATATACTGGATCATAAGCCGGTTCATTTATAAGCCGACCTCCCCAAGATGGCTAAGTAAAAATGGAAAATTTTTATGACCCATTCATAAGCCGACCCTATAATTCAGGCATCAGCAAACTCTGGCTCCTGGGCCATCAGGATAAGCCGCTGGCGGGCCGAGATGGTTTGTTTACCTCACGTCTGCAGGCACGGAGGTAAACCTAAGTAAACAAAGTGTCCCGGCGCGCCAGCTGCTTACCCTGACGGGCCGGGACAGCAACTGGTGGAGAAAAATTTTTGGGGGGGAGAAGCTGGAGGTCAGGGGAGTGACTGCACCCCTAGCCCAGGACCCCCACACTCTCCCCATCCCATCCCTTCCCACCTTATCTGGGGGGGGGCCAGGGGAGGATGTCTCTGGCCTGGCTGGAGCTGCTCCGGCGGGCCAGACCGGGCGGCATGGCCGCAGCATGTTCCAGTGGGCTGGGCCAGGCGGCATGGCCGCAGCGTGCTCCGGTGGTGTGGCCACAGCCTGCTCTGGGGGGCGGGGCCGAGCGGCACGGCTGCAGCCTGCCAGTCCAGGAGCTGCAGCTACTTCGGGAGGCTGGGGGAAGAGCAGCATGGCCAGAAGTGGAGAGACTCTGGCCCGGTCTCTTCCCTTCTGTCTCTGCTGGCTGTGCTGCCTCTGTTGGGGGGAGGGGCTGTGTCCCACCTCTCCCTCTCTATACCCGTTCATAAGTCGACCCCCTTCTCATGGTGCTTCCCTTTTTTACTAAGAAAATTCGGCTTATGAATGAGTATATACGGTGTATGCATTTTTAAGAATCTCCTCAGCTTTTCTCTGTTCCTGATGTAATCTGGGTCCACTATAAGCTTGTGCAACTGAATTGATTCCAGTGCAGTTGAGCCTTCTTGCATTGGGACTTCTTGCATTAACCAGTTCTAAACTCATTTTTTCCCTCCACGGGAGACAGTGTGGTCCAGGCATATAGGGCACTGGACTGCGAGTCATGTCATTTCCAAATCTACCACTGCGCTGGCATTTGACTCTAGCAAGTTACTTAGGTCAAAATTTTCAAACTTCAGTGCCTAACGTTAGGCACCCCGATCCATATTTAGGCATTTACATTTTATGTATTTCTTTGTGCATTTGAAAGTGCAGGTCTACTTTGAAGCATGATGCTATAAAAATGGCAACGTGGGGATCCAAGTTTATGGTCTCGTGATTTCTAAAGTAAATGTGCTCAGGTTACAAGAAAGAATTTTTTTTGTTTTACCCGCTATCCCTTTACCACAAAGAGGCACTTCATCTACAAAGCGAGAGTAGGCCTCCTTTCCCATCCCCAGGTCGTTGAAAATTTGATCTCATTACCTGCACATTTTTTGCCATCGCCTGTATGAGGAGGGATGCAAGTACATACGTAGGACCCATTTGTATTTAGGCAAGAAGCATGCTCATCGCAATCTGATCCAACAGCACACTCATCGACATCTGCAAAAATAAATGTCCCGAGGGCAGTATTTGCAATGAACATTGTTTTCAATTTACATCACTCGAAATGTCTGGCAGAATCATTTAAAAAACCCACCATTAACTGAATCACTTCTCTGATGCATTGTAACAGTGGAAATAAACATAGAATAATAAAATGGAATATTTATACAAACAGTTAATTTAGCATAAAATAAAAGATTGCCAACATGAGGGGAAACTGGACACAGTCTGTTACTCCACACTCAGGGAATACTCCCACTGAGTCCAGGAAATGTCCTATTATGCCAATTATTTTGTTTCCAGGAAGGCAAATGAATAGGTGTTTTAGTTCATACTTAGAGAGGGTATACCCTAATGGTTTGGGCAAAAGGATAGGAGTGAGGACTGTCTCACCCTAAAATATACTCTAATCCCTCTTTATGTCTCAGCTTTCTCATCTGTAAAATGGGATACATGAGTGCTTAGCTCACAAGGTACGCACTTTGACCATAAAACAGAGACAGTCCTTTCTGTGCTGAATAGACTCTTACTGCATTAGAAGCCTGCTAAGATGTTTGGAGCTGTCTGATATTGGAAAGGTTAAAATGAGGTAGAAATCTATAATTACTATTATTAATTATGTGAATTATGGGGGGG